CGATCAACCTAATAGAAACAAAAGCTAGAAACTTTAAAATCTGATTACAGAAAAAAGATCTGAGGGAAAGATGCTACCTTTTTTTTTTTATCTTAAAATGAAGAATCTTCAAATGTGATTGGGTGTTACTTGCTCTGAAAACTTCGTTCAGTGTATCTCAGACCTCATGGGTTTATATAGCTTTATATACATTACTTGAGAGAGAGACGTTATGTGGGAGACATAGAAATTGTTTATACCTTGTGTAAAATGAAACATATCCCATATCCCATTTTTTTCACACATTAAGATATTGTGTGTTTATTTTTTCCTAAATTTTGTCCAATTTGTTAAATTATAAATTTCAAGGTAAAACTATTTGGCTTGCCAAGTAAATGGTATTGAATAATGAAATATTATTATACTCATCGTTATCAAATATTTTATTTTTCTTCTCGGAAATGTAACAGATAGAACGAAACAAAAGGAGTATATAATAATATATAGCAATTTTTATTCATATCTTGTGTGAGGGAAATTTGAATTCTTGTTGTTAGGGATCATGCTAGGAATAAATGCTTTACCTTGCAACGAAGTTATCAATATTTTCTCGTTTTTGTCGTTTGGTAATTCAACTTGGGACAAGTACATGCATCATGTTTCTATTTACTCCATTCTCTCATTTCGTGTATATAATCAGAATCTGGAAGCTGATGATAAATGCAAAAACACGATGCTGGATCACTGTTATTATTACACGCAACGTTTTTGGTAGGCCATATTTTATCGCGTGCTTAACATTATCGGTGGATTGCTAGTCTGCAGTAATGTTAAGGAGCCAACAGTTGGCTTCTTAGCATTATTGTGAAGTCTGTCATTAATTCATTCATTACAAGATTGAGAGAGACAAGCTTTTATGGTAAATGAAGTAAATAATGTTCTTTTGCTTCGTTGCACATTTTTTGTAAGGGACAATATTGCTTTGCCTCTCCAAAGAAACCTTCAAATGAGGAGATCAGGTTCACCACAGGCTAATACCTTCTCATGGTTAAGTCAAACAAGTTTAGAAGGTAATTCGGAAGGTAGATTTACCATAGAAATCTTTGCTGGGCAGAAGAAGTAATTGTACTATATTATTAGTACAGACACAAGGCTCATAAGCTTCATGAGGTTTAGTATGTCATCGAAATCCTTATATCCGAAACATCACACAGAACATTATATGTAACAAAGTTTGCTTAGCTATTTGGCAAAACAATGCCACTCACTTTAATATTCAGAACTGCTCGTTTCAAAGTTCAAAGTAACGACACATAAGTCAGCTTGTATTCAGATGACAACAAAAGGGCCAAGCTGCATACACTACATGAAGATAATCCACAACTATCATAAAACTCACAATTGCCTGGTAAACAAGCACTTCACAGTTAAAGATCACAATTCACGATACAACAACAAACTCAGTCTACAGAATGAACAACTCCTGGCTTATTTGGAGTAAATAAATGTAAAAGCTGACATTTTTTATTATACTCTACAGATGAGGGAATCCCCACAACAGATGGAAATACCTGAAAAGGGCCAATCGGCAGGTCAACGGTGATGAGTACATTACATATCAAAGAACCAAAACTGCCTAGTCTTTGCACATAGCTGTTACCACTAGCAGCAAAAAAGACTCTACTCGATCCCGACCAATAAACACATTCCTCATTCATAAACACCACGACTTCCACCATCATTTCTTCCGATTCGTCTAATCTGACGCAAAAAAGAAAAAACTGTAGAAAACGCAATTTCCAAATGAACCGTGTCAGTTTTAATCAGAGATCTGGCGCCTGTTAAGAGCAACCTCAAAACGGCTGCACGAGTCAGCCCTCATCTCAGTGCTCATATCATTCTCTGGCGCAGGATAATAATCCGCCCTCAGCTGCACGTCCCGTAAACCTTCAATCCTCAGAAAGAACATCATGAAGTGCTCGTGCGCAGTTCCATGTATGAAAAGCTTCCTAAGCCAGTTACACTCCTGTAGCAGTCCAGCAGCAGGTAAGGACAAACTCCTCTGGTTCACATCCCTATCCTGCGGAGGCCAATAGTTAAGCTCCGTCAGGCCCAAATGGCCAATACCAATCAAATAAAACCTTTCCCAAAGGCTCAAGTCCATCTGGCCTGAAGGTGCTGTGTGGGCATACCCGTTTATGTCACCACAGTCCAAATTCATTCTTGACAGTTTAGGGTAATTAAGGAGAGTAGTAAGCCCGAACTCGCGCACAACGGGCCTCGGCAGCAGCCTGCAATCTCCCTCGACTTTGATACTCATCTCTTCCAGTTCAGGACAGTCGTTGAGCCCAGCAGCCACTAATGGAGTCAGAAGCTGGCCCACGGAAAGCCAGAGTGAAACATACCGCAGTCTGGCCCACGTCTTGTCCTCGTCATAGCCTTCGACATTTACGTCGAGACCTGAGGAAGAAGAATTCAGATCGTATGTGTATCGAGCCCTCTTGCGAACACTGTAAATCTCGTCATCATATTCGGCAGCAGAGTCAAAGTAGTCGCTAGGCTCTTCCTCCTCTTCCTCTTCGTCTGGGCAGTCCCAGTCACAGTCTATGTGGAGCCTCTCGAGACGGTCCTGAATGGGCTCCAGAGCTTTCAAGGACTGAACAGCGCCGAGTTTCTTGCAGGCAGCAATCTTTACATCAACTAGTGTCTTGCGCAGCAAGCTAGCCATAGTCCGCATACCTTTCACAGTTATCTTGTTGCAGCCGTAGACCTCGAACTTGGCCAACCTGTAACAGCCTCTGCCAATCGCAATCAGTCCCATGTCCGTCAAGTCATCCACATTCCTAATGGATAAAGACTCGAGCCCTTGGCAAAGGGCGATTCCGTCTAGCTTTGACTCGACGGGCAACGAGATCCCGTGAAACTGGCCGAGCTTCACGGATTTGAGCTTGGGGCATTTGGAGTTGAGCACCTCGAGTGCGGGGCCACTGTCCCTGACGTTGTTGCAGAGATCTAGAGATAGGTCTTCTAACAGAGGGAGTCCAGAGAAGACCTCAATCAGAGTAGCTACGTTGATCTTAGCTTCCTCTTGACCCAAACCCTCGCGCTCGTCCGGATCGAAGTCAGTCCTGGAACTGGACAAGGCATTGGTGTCGGCTAAATGAAGGATTTCCAATTTGGGGCAGTTGACCGATATGGAAACCAAGGCCTCATCCCCGGCGTGCCCGATGTACCTGGGGTCGAACATACAGGAGGCCCGGAATTCACGGAGATTGGGGCAGGCTTTGGTGATAGCCTTAATCTCGTCGGACTTGAAACCCTCTGAGAAGGAGGAGTTGAGGAGGTTGAGGGACTTGAGATTCGCGGCGAAGGTAGGGCAGGAGCCGAGGGCGGCAGGCACATCGTCCGTCCAGCAGTAGAAGGAGGAGAGATCGAGGGATTTCAGAGTCCCGCACTCGGAGATGAGCAGTTTAAGCTCGTCGCCGGCGGCCTCCGTCTGCGGGCGCTGGTGCCACCGCACGAGCTTCAGGCGCTCGAGGTTGGGCCACTGAGGGACCACGATGTGGATGGTGGAGGGGTCGCGGGCGTAGATCGCAAGGGAGGTGACGGCGGGGAAGGCGTGGCGGAGGAGGTGACCGATGAGGGCGGAGTCGGGATCGGCGGCGGAGGTGAGGGGGTGGCCCCAGGGGGAGATGAGGGAGAGGTCGAGGTGGGAGGTGGACTGGAAGCAGGTGGGGAGCATGAAGAGGTCGCGGATGTTGCCGCGGAGGGTGAGGGCGGAGCGGGTGGCGCGTTCAAGGAGGTACCACTTGTGGCAGACGAGGGAGGCGGAGTTGCGGCTGCGGACGTCGGAAACGGCGGCCATTATGCTGGAGAGGATGACGTCGGGTAAGTCGTTGAGGGTGGTGGCTGCGGCGGCGGCGGCCATGGGAGCCAAATCTGAAATGGTGTTTGGTGGATTGGAGAGGGGAATGGAATATAATTCGTTTTGGGGTCATACTTATCTTCTGCTTCTTTGTTTTTCTTTATTATTTCTTTATTATAGCATAAAAGTCCACACACACTACTGTACCCAGATGGACATGTGTGTGTAGGTGCGGGTTTTGGAGGGAATAATTAAATAAACCGAGCTAATTTTACATTTCTTCAACTCATCCATCTTCACGGAGACGGAATTATTTAAAGATTGAGTGTGTTTGTAAATTAATAAATTCACTTAAAGTGAGTTTTTTAGTTAGCTAAGGATAATTTAAAAAAAGTGGTATATTTAGTTGTTAGTGGAATTTTTAGTTAGTAAGAAAATTGAATTTAGCATTAATTGAAAATAATATTTATTTCTCATATTTGTATTTATTGAAATAGGTAACATGAAATTAATGCTTGAAAAGAAAGGGAAGATCTTCTCATCTTAATTTTCCATATCTTAGTTATTCTCCTATTGTGTATCTAGAGTTAATTATCTTCCTTTAGTTTGTAGATAAAGGAAAGATATTAGATTCATTAGGAGATTATATATATATATATATATATATATATATATATATATATATTCTATTTCTTTATTTTGATATTCTCTTACTATATGTTATGGTATTTACTTAATTGTCTTATTTTAAGAGCAAAGATGATAAAATGAAGATATTCTTGTGAAATTTGAGAACTGAAATCTTGAGGAAGAGATCTGGAAAATCGAGCAAGAAAAGGAAAGAAATTGAGCAAGAAGATATTTTCGAAAGTTCGCATGGAAACAAGGAAAGAGAGTTTACAAGATTGAAGAGAGAGAGAGACACAATTAAATCAGAAAGATTTGGGCAAGATATTCATGCATGATGACCTACAAGGCATGGAGATTTAGTTTTCAAAGTTGAACGAGAAGATCGAGTAAATTTAGAAAGTCTAGATTTCTGATGAACCTTATATATATGAGTTTCATGATTTCTGGTAGTACATGAGCTATTCCATTATTCATTCAGAGGATTTAGAGTTTTATTCATTAAGAGCTCGTTAGTTTTTGTTTAGAATTTGTAGAGTGATCAGATTCCAGCATGTTAGTTCATCGCTGGTTTTCGAGCTGTCAATTTTGTGCTTTTAAACTATGCGGTGTCCCACTGTGTGAATAAATTATTACAAGCATTCATCAACCCAAAAATCTCTGACATGTCCGAGGCTTATAAAATGACATACATAATCTAAAAACTTACATACGTGCGGGATATAATAGTCGAATTCAAGAATACCTGCAAACAACATTTATTTGCAATTTTAATCTACTGTGTGCTACGCCCGAACACAAATAATTCACATATGTCACACAAGTCCTAATTCGAATAGTGCACAAGGACGAACTAGTTTGGGCTCTGATACCAGTTATTGGGTTCTATGAGGAACGTCGTTGATATGCACATTCAAATATACTGAAAATAAATTCTACCGCAGCGGAATCTATCATTAGGATTAGGACTTACTGTTTAAAATTTTTACCGATTCTGAGACAATTTTGATTTCCGCTATTGGAGATCGTCTAAACCTCTGAATCCGCTGGGTAGCTGGACTTGGCCTTGTTATCGCGTCTTCGGTTGCTCATCGGGATCGTCGGATTGTCTCGGACCTTCGGTAGGTTGGTCGGACCATTTGGGACTCGCCGTGGGCTCGAACGTGGCGTTGAATAGCTTCTGGACTGGTCTGAGCCGGGTTTGGACTAGACTTTGGCTGGGTTCTGGTCGGGTCTGGGCCGTATTGGCTGAGTCTGGTCGTTGGTCTCAAGGAATCAGTCTCTGGGCCGTGTCTACATGCATATGGGTCGAACTGGGCACGCTGCTAGGCTTGGTAGCATGCGGGTCTGCTGCACGCACGGGCGCGGGATGCTGGGGAACTGCAATGCTGCGTCGGGTCGTTGTGTGTGCTTGGGTCTCTGCTGCAACGCGCACGGGCGCTGCGAGATGCGCAAGAAACTCATGGGTCGCCAGATGGAAGCGCGCGAGAAAGTACGTTGGTCACGCGAGGTTGCTTCCTTGAAGTTCGCTGGCCGCACGCGAAGAACACGGGGATGAACTAGGTCACGTTGCACGGTGTTGTTGTTGTCTGCACGAGTCGTTGCGGGTCTATGGGCACCTGGGAGCTGCAACGCGGTTTTTCACAAGTTCTGCGGTATTGGACGGTGCTGGTCGCGGTCAGACACGTGCAGAATGCTACTGGTTGTGGTTGGGCACCTCCAAGGTCGCCGGTGGTTGTCGGATGATCGTCGATGGCTGCAGGCTTGCATATATTCGTCGGGATACGAATTCATAACCTTGGATCTTCTATTGTATGACCTTTACACGATCTTCATTAAATCTTTGTGGAGCGATTAATTGGATCTCCCAACGCCTCTCGATTTTCTTTTCCTAAGACCTCTCGGTTTTATCTAAATTTTCTCAAGAAGAGAATTTTCTTTTTCACTCGTTATTTGGAGGAATATAATCTGATTTTTCATTGGGAAAACTGATTTGTGCATGTGATGGTCATCCCTTGGAGGCTAGAGGAATTGGTGTATTTATAGGCTACAATAGAGACCTTAAAGAGGCGCTAAATATGGACTTCTTCAAATAGGATTAGGAAAACTAATGTCTTCCACCTGATTAACCTAATAAAATAAGTCTCACCCATAGTAAATCAAATAAATAAGTATCAAATACGTATGCCTGTTTATTGTCTTATGTGTTAAGAGCATGCATCAATTACTGAGGCCTAGATTATTTACTTGGTCAGTATTCAAATAATCTTCTTCTCCGAGGTCTATTCAATACTTATGAAGTATTAGTGTAATTCATCAGTCAAAGATCAACTGGATCAAAATCACACTACAGTGCAGGTTGTTCAATTATGTCTAGACTGTGAATTAATATTTATATTTTACAAGACACCGATAATGTGATCTTTCTATTTGACACATCGAACCACATTATCTACAATGAACAAGAAAGAAACCATGTTTGCATAAATAAATAAAATACGAACACTAACTTGACTAAAGACATATATCTCATTCAAAATGGAATTGGGAGTAATCAAAAAGCCAAGCTTCTACAGTATACTCCAACACCATCGTCCTCCCTGGTTGCACCTGTGCAAGATCTGGTTACTCCTGCACTAGAAATCATCATTCCCTGAGTCATTCGAGCCTCATGCGTTTGGCTCGAGCATGCAACATCATTTGGGACCACGAATGAGCTCCCTAAGCCCGTAGGACAAGGCATCGGGGTCTGAGAAGGTCCGAAGAAGCCTGACGGTGGGCCTGCTCTGGACAGACAAGTGTTCAACCACTCACCGTCGAAGGTATGCTCTAAGTTTTTTTCTAGGAATTTCGTCGGCCATGGCTATGGTGCTTGCTAGATTTTCAAACAAAAGTTCCCAAAGACGACGCCAAATTTTGCATCAAAGACTTAGACCGGCTGGAATTGACCCGATCTTGAGATCCTCCGCCGATTGAACGCCTTTAGACCTGCAGAACATTCACGCCGAAGGGTTTTTTGGTGCAGAGCCTCCGAAGCTTAAGTCAGCACTTATAGAAGATGAAGTGCAGTATGAAAATGTATGTAGAGAATGTAATGTAATAATGTGCATATCTCACTCCCTTATATAAGAAGATGATACCTTGTTGCCTAAGACTGCCCGAATGGGATGCCAGAGTTGCCCATAGTGCAGCCCGAACTTCTCGGTCTACCCGATCTGCTCTGTCCAATTCTATTAGGAACGTGTCCCTATCCACGTGCGGCTCTTAACTCCTTAATATTCCTTCTTATCCCTTAGTCTTTTTTATTAGATTGCCTAATGGTGCGACCAGCTTGAGGTCTCTTGCGGTAGAACGTTGCCTGTTTTGAAACCAGGTGTTGTCTTTTTTGGTCGATCATACGACCAACCATGCCTAACGATCGACTTTACAACAGGTCATCCGAGGGCCCTAGCTTGACCTGTCGTTTTCCTTGTGAAGCCTCCGCTCCTTTCGACCTGAAGATGCCTTGTTGTTGTTCGAACTATCAGCTGCTCCGATTTTGACCACCCGGGACATTCAAACCTGATTGACCGATTCATTACATTTGTTTATCCGGGTACGGTATCTTATATCACCAACCTTCTAATAATTTGGAGTCCAGTCCAAGATCTAAATCTACCGCTAGCCTGATTTGTTTCAATCCCATTGTTATACAAAATTCAGAAGCACCAAAGTAAAGAAACAAACAATCTCTTTCTACAAATGCATTCTTATATATGTCCTATATGTATTAATTAAGGCTTCTACTCTTGTATGGATTATCTGTAAGTCGGACATATTCATAAAAAATAAAATGGACTATTTTAAAAAATTCTGCCTATGTGTTTTGAAAGTACAACAATTATCTTCTTCATTACATCTTTGAAGTATGCAGGTGAACACCTCGATCTCAATACATTACTAATGGGTCTACTTCCAGATCTGGAGTAAACCGGTGGATGTGAGCTCAGATCTGCTTGAACCGCCTCCGAATCGTTGCTAGACCGCGAGATACCTGCAAAAACTCAACGCCGGAGGTGTTTTCGGTGTAGAGCCTCCGACGCTCAAGTCAGTATCAGAGTGATGAAGAGATGCTGCGCAGCAGCTATGGGGGAGAGTGGGAATGAATGAGAGTTAGGGTTTGGGGTTACCTCCCTTCCTTTATATAGGAGTGAATACTTACTTGAAGTACCCGAAATGCCCAAGTCGGTGGACCTAAAAGGTCCAAATTGCCCCGGTCGATTCGTCTCCCCTCCTTGCTGAGTCATCTCAAGATTCCTTCCTATCCTTTGGAAAATGTAGAGCTTTGAGTGTGTTGTAAGTGTGATGAGTCGTCATCACATCTTTGGTCTTCGAGATATACAGGGTCGACCTCGAGAGCTTGGAGGTCGACTTGCGATCATGTGAGGATTCGGAGG